ACTTTGGCCTCAGACTACCTGGTTAGAATTTTGGCTTTGCCACTTGTTAGCATTTTGACCTTGAGGAAGTTCTTTAATTTTCTGTGTCTTAGTTTCTTCATTTGTGAAAGGGAAATGGAAAATTCGTGAAAGGGAAGATAAAAGTACCTATTACCCCACGGGGTGGTGAAAATTAAATCACCTAATTCATGTGAAATGCTTAGCGTAGTTGTCAGCACATAGTACCAGTCAGTAAACGGTAGTTATTGTTAATACTACTGTGTATAGTTAGGACAGATGGATTAGGCAAAAGGAGACGGACAGATGGATGAAGGAGAGGGAAAGGATGTTGTCAATGAGGTATTGCTCTCATATGCTTCTTACTCAGAGGGTAGCCTCTGTATTATTCACAGCGTTTATTCAAAAACTGCAAACACATATAGGACATACTAGGACCACGATAGTAAGCTACATTTAATCATTTTATTCAGCAGATATTAAGAATCCCTTATGAGCTGGGTAATAGGAAAACAGTGATTAGCATAGCCGTGGGCCTTACGTTTCTAATGGGGGAGATTTACACATAAGTCACGTGTCTATGTATCTTTAAAGCCTTGTATTTTCGTGGAATCTCTTGACTGAAATGAATTGATCACAGCTAGTTCTTGATTCTTCTCTTCTCCTTTTACATTTTCCCTGGTGTTCGTACTCCTAGACTTCATCCGTGAGAAGGATTCGGGCAGAGAAAAGAAAGAATCAGATGACTAGAGGAAATGGAGGGAGGAGGGCTTCCCGTAATTTTGGTAGATGAGCCGATGAGGCAACAACATGTAGGTTGAATGTCCAAAAAGATGCTATTTGTCCCCACTCTCCATGGTAGGAATTAAAAATGGTGCAACAAGGCTGTAAATGAGCAAACTCCCTCCTAAGGGGCCTTAGAATCAAGGCCCATGACTAAGGGGTCCAGACAAGAGCAAATCATTGTGTGTCCCCCTCCACCCACCTTCCCGAAAACACAAAGGGGGAAATATGCTAAATAGGGGCCTTGAAAAGAAAAAGAATTCTTTTTAAACAGAAGCACCAAGAGGGCAGTGTGTGAAAAGGATCTAGCACTAGTCATTTGCTTTGGTGATACTGAGGCTTGTGGGCTAATCGTGTAATACGAATATTTTTGATGAGCCAAACCTTTCTCCCACATCTACAGTTTCACTGAGTCTTTGCCCACCAGTAGCAGCAAGTAGACCAAGGACCTCCCACGCAGGGGCTTGAACCCGAGCAGTCAGTTTCATTTTCAGGGATGACTGTGTATCTGAGTGTGTTTGAAACAGAGACAATTAAGGCCAAGAATTAGCCCTAGCATTTAAAAGGCACTCACCTGCATTCTGCCATTTATGGTAGATCCACCTGGCACTTTCCCAAGGAAGCCACGTAGAAGACATCTCAAAAATGGTGGCACTACACTGTGGCTTTTGGGAAAGAAGTGTCTGCCTAAATTCACGTTAGGTCAGGAATGACTGCATAGTATTTTCTGATATCCTCTCATCAGTTTCTTCTACTGGAAAAAAAAAAAATTTGTCGTCGTCGTTTCTAAATCTCCAAGAAGAGCCACCAGGACATAGTGGATATGAGCAAACTCTGGAGCCAGACAGCCTGTGACGTTGCACAGATTGCCCCTCTTGTCAGTTTCTTCATCGTATTTACCATATCAACTGTATTTATATTATCGGGTTGTGGTGAACATTAAATGAGAGAATAACGTAAAACGCTTAGAGCAGTAAGTCTTATTATTATCCTCAGGGAGCAAGGATGGGATCACGGTACTTCATGTGTGTCCCCTGGGTCATTCTAAACCTGGTCTCAGCCAGGAGAAAGAGACCTGAGCCAGAGCTAGAAATTTGGGAATCGTTAATACGTCAGCCAGGTGTTCATAGTCTGCAAATTCTAGAACCAGAGCTCATGGAAGAGCTGAAATCAAAGGGAGCCTTTTGTGTTTGTGAACATGGGTGCATTTTTTCTGGGGGGAGAATCCATAACTCTCAACAGTTTTCTCAGAGATCTGAGACCCCAAAAAGATTAAGAACCACTGTCTTACAGGAAATACGGTAATACCTCCTATGTCCCACATGGGTCTTCTTAGAAGATAAATAATTGAAACTCCAGGGAGAGTGTTTTATGAATACAACATTTTACTGGAGAATAGTTTTTTAAAGGGCTCCATTTTATATGTCTAGGACTCATTTTTATAAGAATTTTCTTCTATAAAACAAATTTAAAACTTAGTAGATCTAATAGGAAAGACTTTCCTTTAGTGTCACAGCATACTCGTTAGTTTTCCAAGTGATTTTTTTGCAACTTAATGTGCATTTCAGCAATTGTTAGGTATATTAATTTTTAAATGTTCTGTATTATTTTTATGATTATTGTTCCTAATAACTTCTTACAACATGCCTGCATTTTTCTGATTATTTCCTGTAGTAGCTTATATAATGATATTTTCTTTGTTGCAATTATTATTTTTAATAATTGTTTGAACCTCATATACAACATCTTCTTTTAGCTTCTTCATTATTTAGAACTAGGCTTTTGTGGTATGGTCAAAAATTTTACTCTTCGGGGCCAAAATATAGGTGCTGATTTTTCCCCCTTTCTCTCTTACTTTTAAGTTATCAGTTAATAGTTATTCCCTGTGATATAAAATGCAAATGACAGACCTTGGTATCTTTTTCTCAGTGCAGATATTTTTCTTCTGGTTGGTTTTAACTCTTTGCAAAATTTGCATTAAATATCTTTAATATTTAGAGTGTTATATAAATTTTGACCTGCAGTCTATTTTAAATGTATTTTCTAATTTCAGCTCTACCTTTGGTGTTCTCTTGACCCAATGACAAACCTACGTTTACCTGTAATCAGTCCACTTTTTTGCATAATTGATTCTGTTTGCTAAAGTAATGGGATTGGCTGGCTTAGAAATAATTTATTCCCCCGTTAAAACTACTAATCTAGATTAGAATTAATTACATTTCTTATTTTGGTTGTGTCAACTGTAGTGGACCTGATGTAAAAGCAAAAGGCTTGCTCTCCAAATATGATTGATTTTGTTATTATGTTGTTAATTTTTATAAATTAAGAATTCCCTCAGAAATACTACCCTATCTGAATCAGAAACTCTAGAATTTCTAATGATTTTTTTTTATGTTCAAATCATCCATCCAGCTATTATGGTGCTCTACTAGATTATGTAATGCTTAGAAGGAGTTATTAAGAAATTATATGAATGATGCTGTACTATGATACATTTTTATTTTAGTGCTTGATAATGGATTTGTTTTTATTAAATTGTAATTTCAGAGTAGTGCCTAATACTGTTTCTTCTTCACCTTAATTTCCCCTGCAATGTATTGTCAATTAGCTATAAACATGCTTACTTTTGAATGTAATTCAGAAGCCTCTAATGGAATCCTGTGGCAAAGGGACGAGTCCTTTTATATCCGAGGTACAGACGTGTCAAAGCCATTTCTGGTTTTGTTTATGCCCATGACAGGGCACCAGACCTGAGTGGCTCAACTGAAAGTTGGGTTTAAATCATTCTGTTAAGAATCCTGCTACCACTAGCATATGTCAGTAATGAAAAATAATCAACATAAGCATCTTTGAAAAGCAATTTTAGATCATTAAATATGTATGAATTTTGACAAAGCAAGAAGATTTGAGGCTTATTAAGAATATATTAGGTTTCCACATTGAGTGAAGGGAGAGACATATTTATGTCTCTGTTCAAGAAGAAAGATGGGAGCCCGGCCCCATGGCTGAGTGGTTAAGGGTTCCACACTCTGCTTCGGGAGCCCAGGTTCACAGGTTCGGATCCTGGGCGTGGACCTACTCCACTCACCAGCTGTGCTGTGGAGGTGTCCCACATACAAAAAGATGGAGGAAGATTGGCATGGATGTTAGCTCAGGGCTAGTCTTCCTCAAGCAAAAACAAAAGGAGGGGAGACTGGCAAAAGATGTTAGCTCAGAGCAAATCTTCCTCACCAAAAAAAAAGAAGAAGAAAGTTGTAGCCTCGTTGTGATGTCGTGAAAGGTTAAATGGACAGGCACAGTCAAAGACTTCAGTCTTAGTCCTGGCTGTTCCTACAAATCTGTTGAGAGAAACAGAGCGAACTCCAGTGTGAATCCTGAGAAGAAACAAGACCTTAGAACAGTTCATATTTCCTAATGGACTGCATATGGGCTATGTCATTGTCCATCTGATGTGTAGTCAAGGTTACTGGGCAATCGTTTTCTACAGAACTCACACATGCCTTTTTCATAATATAATAAATTTGCTCAAGGATTCTCAATTTCTTTCTTTCTTTTTTTCTTATTTATTAACCATTAAAGTTTGGTCATTTGTAAATATACAAGTAACTCAAGAGAGAAGGTGAATGAAGCAAGATTTCTGTGGGTTTAGCTCTCAGGTTGAAGAAAGACAGCATCAAAACATACAGAAATGGTTCCTCGGGGGCTCCCGTGTCGTCATTTTTGCGCTTCCACTGTGTGACTAGGGCTGTTACACAACCCTAGTTGTATAACAAAACTACTTTGTTAAAAGCAAACTAAAAAATTAGAATTCTTTTTCTCACCCCCCCCCCAAAAAGAGTTTATTTGTGGATCTCATAGTTGTAAATTTCCAAATTTCTTTAGTAATAAAGAATTGATTCCATTTGTTCTGCTTAGCTATTAAAAATGTAACCTTAAGAAGCATCAGAGTGGATGCATTTCACATAGTCTTTGAAAGGTAGCGTTAGTTTGCCTGCATACTTTTCTTGAAAATGCTGAATATTTCCTGCAATCCTGACTCCATTTGCTAAGACGTGAATATGTTGCTTTTTTAGAAGATATGAAGTGCATCTCTGTCGTGTGATGTGAATCTTATGTCAGCTGCAGCGACTTGATTTGCATGTAAATTCTGAAAATTTCCTTGTCCCATGTGACACTTCTGAAATGTCTGTCTGTTCTTTTCTCCTTTTTAATTTCTCAAGCTCACTATTTGGATAAGATAGTTAAAGGTACTGTATCCTTGCTCTTTGTTGACATATCTACATATATATCTATATATAATCGTGTGTCAGATCACACTAGGTATGAAAATAGACTGTTTTTCATGCATACTTTTGTAAATTATCAATCAGGCTTACGTTACGTGAAATCCCTTGGATTTAAAGTACAGAGACTTACATGTCTGTGTCTCATTTTTATAATTTTGGGTTATCACAGATTTCATTCCTATGTAAAAGCATTAGTTTTCACTGGAACCAAAAACTGAAGATAACAGTACCTTTGCTGTTTTTTGTTTACAGTGTTTTTTGGTTTTGTTTTTCTTTTTTGCTTTAAGATCTTCATTGTTGGCAATTCAGCGAATGAGCTTTAAATTCTAAATTAAAGTATCGCAAATGTTCACTCTCATCACAGAATAAGAAATTGTCAATCTAAAGATGATTCTGGTTACATATGTTGAGAGAAATCTCATTCACCCTTAAATGGAAACGTCTTTGGCTTTTTCTGAATGTTTCAAAATATATGCGATATTCTAACTTGTTTTGTTATTTTCTGAGAAACTACAAAATATTGTGCCTTCTCTAAAACAGAGATGATAACACTGCTCAGCAGAAAACAGCAGATTCTCATATCTTCAGTTATGGTTGAAATAGGTGGAAAATATTTTTTCAGAAGAGAAAATTCCCTTTCCCGTTCTCCTCAAATTACCTATTTTCTATTCCTTGTTTGTGCTTTTCATTAGAATATGAAAATATTCATGGCAATATCCAGGCTTTCATATAATAATTCTGTGTGCACGCAGTCAACTGCTGCACCTCTTTGTCAGTGGGGCAATTAAATCTTTCTTTTTTGTTCAAAACAAAACAAAACAAAAGCATCCATAAGGAAAATTTACCTTTTGTGTACTGAATAATCCATAACTACAGACGGTAATTGTCTGAAAGAAAGGAAGCAGCAAAATTAATCTCATGTTGACCTGATGGTATCCATAAGTATGATTTCATTCTAACCTGCCACAAGAGACTGTCAAAATCTTCTTCCTTCTGCTAACTCTAATCTTAAGAGACACAGTGTCTCTTTGAGATATTTCATTTCAAGTTCCGCAGTGGAGGAGGGGAAGCCAATATATGAATAATTCTTTTAATACAGACTTAGGCATCTTGAAACAGATTTTTCCCTTAAATTTTGTCACTGAAACAAGAAGAGCATTCTAATTATAGGAAGCTGTATAACAAACCCCAATTGCTATAGCGAGTATTTTTACTAATATATAGTCTATTCCAAATTATAAATAATTCCATCCAAAGAGATCTAATTAATTATTCTAGCAACTTTAGAGCATTTATATCTTCGTTTCTGTCGGTGTCATATCACACTCATAGACAAGAACACCAAAATTTACCGAAGTGTCATCATCATAATCAATCAGATCATGTTGGCTGCATGCCAGATATCATCAGTAGAAAGTGGCAAAAATTGTTTTTTTTTTAAATGTCATGTTAGACTGAAACAATTACAGATTTTGGATATATTAAATTATTTTAATTGTTTCCCAAATTTTCCCTCCTTGCCCATAAAAGCAGACAAGATAGGATATAAAGGTAACAGCATAAAAGCCTTAGGGAGATTGTCACAAAATATCACCCTTTGCTCTGTCTTGAAGCACGTCACTACCGTGTTTTTGTTCAGTCTATCAATGTTTTATTGTGGTCCTTATGGTATTTCATTTTGTCCGTCCTGAGTAATCAAATACGCACAGCTATTACATTTAGTTGGAAATCCTGTCGGTCCTGTCCCATCCGTATGCAGCCTGAATCCTGATGTTTGTTAGAATAGATGCTGAGCTGCTTCTCTATTTCCTGGGCTTTGCTTATTCTGTGAAAAGGAATGTCCTCTTGGCATAAAGTATAGTCATTAATACTGGCCTATACTTTGTGCAGTTATTTAATGCACTGTAATTTCACATGAATATACGGCAACTCTGAGGCCAGATAAAATTAATGTTCTCTTTTTAACATCGTTCATAGCCTCGTACCCACTTTCATCCTTTTCAATCTAGAGGGAATTTTTTAAAGCAACAAGGTGATCTAAGAAGGCATGTCCTAATGAGTGACCAGTAGTATTTACAACAGATTAAAAATCTATACTAGGGATTCTGAAATTATCTCGTTGAGCTGCTTTTTCACACCATCCAATCAACCCTTGTTGCTTTGCTAAAGGAAAAAAATTTAAGTTAATTTTGTCTGGCCTGCAGCTACTTAGTGGATCGTTGCATATATTTCTGTCCTGCACAGGTAAGTGGTGTCTCAAGGGTCAGGCCAATCAAAGATGCCACTTAGAGAAGAACTAGATTTCTTAGATTATGTTGCTGTTCCTATCCATGTGCAATTACAGTATTTGTGCTGTTGATAAAGGCCTCTTCCCACTAAGTGTCCCTTATCTGTTTATTTTAGGTGGAAAAACTTTCGATACTCAAATCACTTGTGTTTTCCTTCTTTGTCTCTTTCGACAGAGGGTTGCCCTGGTCTGTGCAACAGCAATGGAAGATGCACGCTGGACCAAAACGGCTGGCATTGTGTTTGCCAGCCCGGGTGGAGAGGAGCAGGGTGCGATGTCGCCATGGAGACCCTCTGCACAGACAGCAAGGACAATGAAGGAGGTAGGAAACGCTGAGCGTGAAAACAACTGTGTGCCAGAGCACAGGCTGATAAGTTACACCGAGGACAGAGTTATCCGTTGCCACACAAAATCTGATCCCCATAGATTAGATTGATTGAAAAATGTATGAGTGCCGACAGAGTGATTTTGCTCCCTATTTTCTCTGAAACAAATGCAAGATTATTATCGTTCAGGGAGAAGGCACAGTAACCAAGCTAATTTATAACGTACATTGTTCTCCATTCCTTTTCCTCACCTCCAGGTGACAGTTCTTCACACAATGGGGAGAATCTTAGGGCCTGTGAATGGGGAGCTCTAAAGCAGCATTTTAATAAGTAAACATTCCAAAAGATTCCAGGCGTTTTCCAAGCTCTTCTGTTGAAGGCATGGATGGAAAAAATAAGAGTAACAGAAAATAGTCCCCTTGAAGGTGTACTTCCAGTATCTTTTTATTCTTAACTTTACCCCTGTTGAAAAGATTGTGATAGTCCACCCAACGTAAGTCCTTGGTTAAGAAATAATTATTTTCCCCATTGTGCACAGCCTCCATGCTACTCAATTTCAATTTCAGAGAATAGAGTGAGAGCTCCTGATTACTTCTCCAGTGGTGAAATAGCTGCCCCCTATAGCTGTTTGATTTTGTCCTACCTTAAGGACTGAGTTTTTAGAAAGGATTTCGTTCCCATCTGGGCCTCTGTGGTCACCTGCTCTGTGGGTTAGGATGTGTTTCCCTACCCACTCCTTCATTCCACCTGCTCTCGTGGGAACATCCACACAGCAGTACGGGGGGCTTACGAGTGCAGATTTTGGGGTCAGACAGATCTTCACTCCACTCTGTAGTATGTGTGTGACCTTACACAAGATTCCGATGTCCTTAAACTTAAATGGTTTCATCTATAAAATAGGAATAAAAGCATTTTTGAAAGGATTAAGTGAGAGAATGTGTAAAGTACTCAGCGTATTGCCAGACACATAGTATGTTCTAAGTGCCAGCTATTATTATCCAGTTTTCCTTCTTTTGCTTTCAAAAGTGCTCATCTTGACTCGTTAAAATCATAGAAGGTTGTTGGAGAAAATTGAACAGCCTTTTCTTTTCTACGTAGAGGAGACCCAACTACTGTTCTTTAGGAAGCAGAGTGAAGAGAACTAACCCCTGCTGTCCCCTATCACCCCCAACACACATACATACACACATGCACACACACATGCATGCATACGCACACACAGATGCACATGTGCATGCACATGCACACATGCTGGCCTGGGCCTAGTCATTCTCAGGCCAGCTGTTATTTGTGTCTCATCTTCCTGACAAGGAGCTGTCATTCTCCCCTTTGGTTTCTAGCAGACTGTTCAGTGTTTTCTCTATCTTCTTTCAACCTGGACTATCAAGAAACTTGAGCCACAAATTCTGAGCTAAGGCCTGTTTTTCTTTCTGCTCCTGATAGATTTAGGTGGTCCTTAGCCCTTGAAGCTTTTCCTGCCTAGTAATACCTTGTTGCCCCTGACTCCTCTTAACTATGCACTTTGTAGAAATGGCAGCATTAATCCTCTCTGAAACACAGCCCACATGGCAACTTTCCTCATTACTTTCCCCCAAGAAGCCCCGACCCCATTGTTCTCTATTGCCCAGGGAGGGAGGAGAGCATCTCTTCCTCCTCCATCATCTGTTGCAGATTTCGTCTACTAAGAGGAGATTACATCGAGGAGGTTACAGACTCTCTCCGAGGGAAGCAAACTGCAGAGTAATTTAGGGGCTAATCAACTCTTTAGTATTGTTATCAGCTGAGGAGGTTTTTCCCTTTCCTCAAAATTTATCAGCTGTGAATTGGCCTCGTTCCCCTTTTGTTTATTCTTATTAGCATGAAACTCTGCTATCTCTAGGCTTCCCTCTCCAAGGGGAAATCTGAGCTGATGGAAGACCTCCTGTGGGTTCTCTGCTTATCTCATATAATTTGTACTCCTGTCTCTAACCTAATTTTGTTGATCTTCTAAGAAGGAATGTCAGTGCCAGCTTTATTGTACCCTGAGAGTGTAACCTGGTTGCCTTATAGCCTAAGGTTATAACCCTAAGCTGAGGGTTCTTTGAACTCAGGTATGGCTCTGTGTATAGAAACAACGTTTTCCACACCAAACCACAAATCAAGACACCTAATTTGGCAATCAAGGATATCATTATCATTATATGAGAACAGTAGAACAGAGTGTTTAACATAAGGACAGGACCTGAAATTCTATGACATATGGTAACTATACCATTATAGATCATTGTCTAAACTAAATTTGGTATCAGAATGGTGAATTAGACAGAAAGTAGCTAAATAATTTGACTTAATACATTAAACAAATAAGGAAGAAGAGAGGGTAAAGAAGTTGATATGGCCCTATTCAGAAATTAAACACGTCATGTAAATAGCTACTGGTCTAGTCTGAGCAACTTTGTAGAATACAATCTTTGTACAAAAAAAAGAAAGAACAAAAGAAGTTGCTTGCTATTCCCCAAACTGAAAAAGAGGTATTAAGAAATTTTAGAAAGGACGGCTGCGTATGGGGAAATGGTTAAATATTTTTTTCTTAGACCAAACATCATCTTTCCACTCTAAAACATACTTTTCTTTACCAAATCCAGTTTGCCCCATCTCCACTGCCGAAGCCTAAAGATTCTCAAAATGTGGATCTCACTAAATTGCCTATGGAGTCCCACGTCCCATTTATGTCTCTGAAATGCTTCAGGAAAAGCAGCCTTAGAAGGGAATTCTTTATGAGAAATAGGAGGAATGGACTATCAATAAAATAAGTTGGAGGAACTTATCTTTAGCCTCTCTCTTTACACTACACAGTCATAAGAAGTAAAACTCCTGTTCAATTGGACCTTATTGGGCCTTAAGTCTCAAACAGCTGTCATATATACAGGGTCTCTTTAGCTTTTCAGAACTAATGGCAATCTTTTACCCACAGTAAAGGCCCTGACAAAGATCCCCACTCTGTAGAATCAACAAGATGCCTCCCTCACCTGCTTCTGAAATCTAGCTCCGGATGTCCAACAGAGGCTGGTGGAGCAGATCCCGGGGACAAAAGCAGACGATGGAATAGTAGATTTTTACATCACACAGTGGAAGTCAGAAACAGATGGTCACTGGACCAGATAATTGTGGATAACATCTCCAAACAGGGGAGACATTTTGGGGGTGACCACAAGATAGCCTGTTCTAGTTGAGAGAGCTTTCAGAGCAAACGACCAACAGTACATGCCTGGATTTGGCTTATAAATAGTTCTGCTTCAACTCCATCTTCACCTGCCAAGTCAACCTCCCTCTAAATTGAGCCATTTCTTGTTCATTTCCCAGAACTCACTCTGCTGGTGAAGTTGCTGAGATCAGAGAAAATGCAGGTGAAGAGATGGAACCGCTCACTATTAAATGCCGTGTGATCTGGAGAGAGGTTTAAGACAGTTACCCCATGCTGCCACAGTTTTTAGTTCCTTGGGTACCTCTTTTCAGTCAGCCATCTGAATTTTCTGTCTCACGGCCCACTCTACCCCAGACTTTCACCTCCCCTCAACAAGAAAACCCTTTCTCTTCTTCAAGGTTCTATTCATTATTTTCATCAGGAAAGTCTCTTTGGATGCACATGATAGAAACTCCACTCAAATGGTCTTAAGCTTTAAAAAAGAAAAATTACTAGCTTATGTAACTGAAAAATTCAGAGCTAGCTGCACCTAGGTATTCAAACAATGATAACAGAAATCTTGGTTGATTCGTCAACTCTGCTTTATTCTGTGTTGGCACCATTCTCTGACTATCTGTTCTCCAAAATGACCACCACCAGCTCTATGTTTACAACCCACTAGCATAACCACCCCGGTACAAGGAGGACAGCTTTTCCAAGGTTACATGAGGCGGGGGCCTGGACCTGAGCCCAACCCTCATTGGTCTGAATTGGATCTCCTCTACGCAAAGGAAAATTGAAGTTCTAACACCAGAAGAAAGTAATATGAATGCTGGGCAGGCAGAAAAACAGATTCTACTATAGGAATATTAATAGCTTTCCATAGCATTTAGCTTCGGACAATATATTCCAATAACTATTTCATATGGCTAATAGACTTCTATTATTTTCAGAAGGAATTTTCTATTCTCTACCTCCCCCCTTCCCTCAAAATTACAGCCTTCTCCTTTGAGAACAAGAAAGCCAATTCTGAACCCCTGACATGCTTTCCAGACCCCAGATTGGCAAGGCACCCATCCAGTTCTCCCTGTATACTTTTATAGCGTCGTTGCTTTTACCTAGGGCACCCACTAGGAATCTCATTCAATAGGGGGCTCTTGACTTTAAATAGCTCCCCATATGGAGGTTCCACTATGCAAGCATCAAAGTACAACAGCTTGCCAGACACAATTCTATCTTTATAGAAACTCAAGATACTTACTTACAAGATGATTTCTACAAAATGCATTATCTCTGGTAGTTGTTATGATATTCCCAGCTTTCTCCTCATTAGGGAGTTCTAGTCAAAGTTCCTTTTGACGTATTGTTTCCCCGTCTGGTTCTCCATTGGGTGGCTCCCCTGTGGGTACCTGAGGCGTGGGACTCAAGCCCTCTCTTGGAGATTGGATGGTGGAGGGGTCAAGAATGACTTAAGCCTCATAATAAACTTTGTGCAAGAATGGTGGGATGCCAAAATATAAGTCCTGTCAAGAATGATACATCTTCCTTGTAAGTAGACAGAGTTATTCTTTGTCCTATAGGATTGTTACTTCAGAGGGTATGTCAGGAAGACGTACCTATAAGAGGCTTTTTAAAAAGTCTTTGGAGGCTGATGCTGGTAGAGAAGAAAGCACAATTCAACTGAGGTTGTTCAGAAATCAGAAAGCTAGAAACAATTATAAGAAAGAGAGACAGAGAGAAAGGAAGGAAGAAAAAGAATACAAATGAAGGGTAGTAGTGTTCTAGGAGTAAAGAAGAGGAGAGTAAAAATGAATGAAATTTTTGTAAGTATCA